AAATAAATAAAAGATCGATATTTCAAATATTAAGTGAAGTTCGCTGTTGTATTTCCTGATCACAGATGTGGATGATGGAGAAAGCACCCTGACAGGAACCAGGCATGTGTCACCTGGTATTGTCATCCAGATAGCCTTATAACATTTAGTAATGAAGCGATGATGTGGATGACAATGTATCTCAGAAATCAGAGATCAGAGAATAGTTATCATTGGATCAATAGTATGCTGCTGTTATTTCCAACTTAATCTGAGCATGATCTTCAGAAATATGTACAATGATCTATAATACTTTTTAATACATTAAATTCTAGATTCTTTGTAATTCTAGGATTGACAGCACTTAAGTGTCAGAATCCCCTCTTTCTGCCTTATAATACCACGGCCAGTGATATTATATATCAATGTTGTATTTCATCCAATTTTATTTATTAATGTGTTCTTTGTTTTGTAATTTGTTTACAATGACGGTTAAATATGTTATATGATTCTCAGATGTTAGATAAACACTGTCCTGTCATTGGTGATGTTGATATTCTGAGTTTCAATATCTGTTCACTGCTTTTCTCTACATTTTTAATATTAATTTATGAAAAATTGTACTTTTGGTTGTTTCTGCCCTAATCAAAGTCAAAGCATATGTTTTAAATCAGGAATACTTAATTACAATTGGGATCTTAATTAAAACTAGTTGTCTTAACAGACTTAAGGACCACCTCATATGAAACAACATTTTTTCTCAGAGACATTCCCTCACAAATTGAAGATTTTTTACCAAAAAAAAATAAAAAAACAAAAAAACAAACTAAAAACAAAACAAAACAAAAATAAATAGATATTTCTTTTATGTAAAAATTAATTTTGTTTTGATTTTTTATTTTTCTAAGAAATATGTGTTGAGTATTGTAAATACAGAAACCATACTTACGCTATATATGATGAATGATATGACTATTTCATGGTGTAACATTTAGCGTTTCATATTTGACCTTTTTTTTAAAACAATACACTTATGCTCGGGCACATTATTTAGAAACAATGTTAAATCTCTTACGTTCCCTGCAATTTTTATTTTGTCTGTCCATCTGTCTTTCTGGTGTGTTCTTTTCGTGTTCAGAGCACAACTTCACCCACAGTTAAAGGATCATGAAAGTTGTTGCGTACATCAGGTACACTAAAGTGATGTGTATTGTATTTGATTCAAGGCTCACCACCCAGCTGAGCTTATATTACTAATTATATATTATATTGCACTTTGTTAAGATTTTGTGTCTGGAGCCTGATTTAGCTTGCATTTGAACTAGGATAATTAAACATGGTGTTTAAAGTGCAGTTTACCAAAGTCAGGACAGCAACCCATTCATTACAGGCATAATCCTCTTTATTAAATTTCATGTCCTAAGCATAATTTTTTTTTAATTGATGGTAATGAAAATCACAATTTATTATGATAAGTACATTTTTTTAAACAGTTTCAAAGCCCATGATCTTTGAAATCTTGATAATCTCCAAAACAGTTAACAAAAAAATCAAAATATTTATGTACTAGTAACAATCAGTGCTTACAGCTGACATGTACAATAAGTATTAGACTGAGTGAAACATCAGCAAAAATTATTCTTTCTTCTTCCAAACTTTCCATTTTAAGATGATTTAACAGATATGAGTCATTAAGATGACCATACACAATCACAAACAGGAAAAGCCAGCTGTAAAGTCCTTTTCATGGAGCAATCTTCAGTTCCATTGTAAGTCATTAAAGTTATCAGGTTTCCAGGAAACGTTTATGGAAATCAACATCTACAGTATCATCTCCCAATCACCTTAATAAGTATACTCATTATATATTGTTTATAGAGGAGGAATACCCTGCAGATCCTACCGGTAAATCTGTGTACCAGGACCAGTGTCGGAGGCAAGGTATGGTAGCTCCAACAAGTGGTAAAACCTTGATTATATGATAATTCCTGCAAAGTTGGGAAAAAAGAAAACCTTATCATCTCCCTGTCAGATTTAGACCTAAAATATGTTGTATATGGATTATTTCCTTTCAGTTCATTAATGCGATAAAGATGAAATATTTCTTGCCATAAAACAAATAAATGCCTTGAACAACACACTGAGAAATTATCCATTGTTGACTTTGAAAAATCCTTTTGTACGCAATATTGTATGATATACAAATTTTTCAAATAAAAAGTTTTCTTTTCAGTATTTTTGAATTGAAAATCATTATTTTAATGAAACTTTCTATATTGATAAGGTGTGGTACCAGTATCGTTTCTGTTCCGTCACCTTGGCGACAGAAACCTAAGGATGAGACACCACTATTTGGGAGGTGAGGGTACCAAGCCAGTTGCTGCTGCACTTCAGGTAATTAGCTTTAAATAATTAAAAATCTAAATGCTTAAACTCAGTTTTAGCATAATGTTTATTAAAAAGGCACTTTAAGATGCTAATGTTTAGGAATAGGTAACACAGAGACAAATAACAAGTGATAGGATCATTGTACAGAATTTGACAAAAAGGCAATGTGTTCTAACTTTCAGTTTTCAGCTTTAATTCTTTACCATGAAAACCAAACACTGTTTTATTATTTTATCAGGGGGAAGGGGCAAACAGTGTTAATCCTTATCACTGTGTCCCATCACACCCTGTCCATTGGATCAACCAAATCTTACATCAATGTGCAACGAAAATTTTGTCTTAAGGGATTTTTAGGCAAAGTGTTCAATGTTTCAAAGTTCAAAGGTCAAGGTTACCATAACTATATATAGTAAGATGTCAAACCAATAGAAGCGCGACATTTTGTCTTCAACGATTTTCTGGTTTCTGTTAAGAATGGGGCAAGTGCAATTGTTTGATTTAAAACAATGTTAAATGGTCTTTGACTTGTGTTCCGGTCAACGGTTTCAGCATTAACCATTTTTTTCGCTAGCTGTTCATATTAGCCTCTCATCTTCCCATGGCCTATCCATTATAGATACAAAATATACGATTATTGGTCATGTGATCTACTCTGATGTCAGTGATCTTCTTGTATTAATGATACTGACGTATTGACACCGATGATCCAAGAATTTCACAAACTGACGCTAGGAACAAAAATACAGAATTAAAACAAAACATTTTTAATAGAATATAAATATTCCAGGTGAGTAATTCAATGTTTTGCTAGAACATTCATCCCACTGAACAATATCATATAGTCAATTTAAAGAATAAAAATGGAGGGAAAAAAGCAAGGAATTTGTGTTTCTTTCTTTTTTTTCCTCCTATGATTGTAAATACCATTTACACAACTTTTTATTTTCACATCCAAGCTGTTAAGTAGTCATTTGTTACACAAACCGAGAAGCTACTAATAATAGCACTCTTACTTTCTGCGTTAATTACATCATTGTCAAACGGTCGTGTAATTCAGATCAGAAGGGCTTTGCTCTTGCTTGCATATCAAACATAGCTGTAAACATCCATGTGAGTTGGATCAGAAAGGCTTAATTTGCTCTTATGTAACTTTGTTGTAAACAGTCGTGTGATTTGGATCAGAAAGGTTTCCTTATCTGACTTAAAGCATCCACGCGGGAAAAACAAAGGAAATTGGTCTACTGTCTTTACAGCAACAGATTGTCTGAGGTACAAAGGGAAAACGAACTTCAATCACAATATAGGAATCAGATCTAGCCAGATCAATACCTCAAATAGTAAATTGGTGTGTCCCATCCTGTCTGTAAAGTAGGCTGTATTAGTTAGGTGTATTTTGTCTGTGTCACTTAAATGTTTTGATGGATACTTGGTGTTTCATATTCTTGTTTTTTAATGATCAGAGTGAGTAAGCCTTTTTAATCTGATCTGTGAGTGTCCTGACATCCTGTTGTGTTTGATATTTATATAGTTTAAATCCAACCAAATAAAACTTAGATTAGTATTTTTCACTTTACACGGTTATTGTTATGGTTTGTTTGATTCTGCAGGGTGTCAGATTGTACAGGGTGCCAGATTGTACAGGGTGTCAGATTGTACAGGGTGTCAGATTGTACAGGGTGTCAGATTGTACATGAGTGTCAGATTTTACAGAGTGTCAGATTGTACAGGGTCTCAGATTGTACAGGGTGTCAGATTGTACAGGGGTGTCAGATTGTACAGGGTGTCAGATTGTACAGGGTGTCAGATTGTACAGGAGTGTCGGATTGTACAGGGGTGTCAGATTGTACAGGGTGTCAGATAAAACAAGTTTCATTTGTGTGTATCTTGATGGACTGTACAGGGTGTCAGATAAAACAAGTTTCACCGTTGTATAACTTGAAAGATTGCACAGGATGTCAGATTTGATAGGTTTCAGTTTTGGTAGCTTGCAAAGTTTTACAGTGTTTAGATACAAATGGATCTCAAAGCGTGTCAGCTAATTTGGAAAAGTTTTACTTTTATACTTTAATTCCTCGAATCTGTCTACAACATTTTTTGTAATCTTTTTGTAAGATCTTATGACATCTAGTTTTTACTTTACTTAAACACGCTTTTGTTAACTTGAATTTTCCATTCTGATAAAGTGTAAAACTATCATCCTTATTGTTTATCCAAGATTGTTAATCAATACTGGAAGTGACACAATTTTTCCAGATTTTTTTTTTTAGTTTTTTACTCACCGAATTATTATCAGATTATATATGATATGATGATACAACATATTTTTGGTACAGTTTAATACGGTGACTGAAGCACTTGACCTTGGTGACAACTACCTGCAGGCAGAGGGTGCCATGTACCTAGCGAGGATGATGAGAGATAACACCTTCATAGTGTACCTGGTGAGAGTTTTACCTGCTTGTTGACAGTAGTTCGTTGTTTACTTATCATTTATGCAAATTACCATGTAAACACTGTAAGGATAGGTTGGACTGTCTTTGTTTAGATTTTTCTTTAATGTTTAAATTTTTTTCTTTCTGTAGGATATCTCAAACAATTTTATCAAATCGTCCGGTGCTGAGGCCATAGCAGAAATGTTAGAGGTCAACACAACCCTGAAGACAATATCTCTGTCAGGTAAATTACGTTATTGGTAGTCGGAGGTTATCATATCCCATCTCAGGTGAAGTTCTTTCTTGCTGCTCAATAAAAAAAATCTTCAAATACAAGCTCTGGAGTTTTCTACTCCACATTTAAATTTGTTCTCTAGTAAGTCAAAATTACTCCTGACAAAATTTTGTCTTGTATGTAACTTACCTTTGAGCTATATTTCATAATCTATAACTTCACCTAAGATCAAGGGTCAATAAATTTAAGTAAACAAATTATTGATATCAACACAGTATCTGGATGTCCTTGAACATACATGTTTTTTTTTATTATTATTTTTTTTGTTTTCAAATACAAATTTATGCACATAGATTCAGGGTGTGTAAAGAAATCCACAACATAATCATACTTGGGGTTTTTTCATTATTTTTTAAGTCTTATGTCTTTGAATTTTATAGCAGAAGGATTTTCTTATGAAGCCTAGCTATTCTATGGCACTTATGTTGCACTCTTGTGGACTTCGAATTTTTTACCTGGCACAGGTTTTCAGAACATCAAACATTTTTCTTTTATATTTGACATTTCTAATCCATTGAACAACAGTTGTTTTATCCTGCATTCAGATCTTTATCAAATTCATATTTTTTATTCACATCTTTAAAATCATTTCTATTCAAGGAGAATATTGGCAACTGTAGGTCACATTTTGATTAGTTCTTATTTCATTTTCTGTATCCCAGGAAACCAGCTCAGTGACAAAGACGCTTTCTTCTTTATTGATGCCTTGAAGAGTAATATATCACTGACATCTCTTGACTTCAGCAACAACAACTTTGGGGAGATGGCAGGTGTCTATATAGGGGGTGCTCTGGTAAGTTTGAATATTATATGGGGGAGGAGGTAGGTAGGTGGGGCTCTGGTAAGTTTGGACACTATATAGAGGGTGCTCTTGAAAGTGTGAGCATTATATAGGGGGCACTGGGGTAAGTTTGGACACTATATAGGGGGCACTGGGGTAAGTTTGGACACTATACAGGGGGCGCTGGGTAAGTTTGGACACTATATAGGGGGGCGGTGTAGTAAGTTTGGACACTATATAGGGGGCGCTGGGGTAAGTTTGGACACTCTATAGGGGGCACTGGGGTAAGTTTGGACACTATATAGGGGGGGCGGTGTAGTAAGTTTGGACACTTTATAGGGGGCGCTGGGGTAAGTTTGGACACTATATAGGGGGCACTGGGGTAAGTTTGGACACTATATAGGGGGCGCTGGGGTAAGTTTGGACACTATATATGGGGTGCTCTTGTAGAGTTGAGTACTATACATGGAGCGCTCTTTTCAGCCAGATAATATAACTAGGTATAGGGGATTCTGTAATAAGTTCCACAGTACCATTGTAGGAGTGCTTCTGTCAGTCTTAGAAGGGTGTAATATATGTGTAAATGAAACATTATCAAAAAATTAAAATAAAATATTGCCATTGAGTATCAGTATACCAAGAAATCAAAAAAAGAATTTGAAAATCTGTTTGATTTACAGGCAGTCAATGACAGCTTGCATGACCTTGACCTGAGTTGGAATGCAATCAGAGGAAAGGGAGCAATAGCTATGGCTGAAGCATTAAACGTGAGTTACTTCCCTTCTCCTGCACTGATGTGAGTGTGGTTTAAAATTCAGTGTGTTTTATAGCTGCAAAGCTTATATCTTATTACAAAACTATTCAATAATATACATGAAATGTGCAAACAAAAACAGAATTAAGAATACAAAGTTGTGTTTACTACAGAAAAACAATACCTTGGAGGTACTAGACTTGGCGTGGAATGGTTTTGGTGTGGCTGGAGCCTCAGCCCTACAACAAGCCCTTAGAGTAAACACCAAGCTCAAAGTGCTGGACCTCAGGTAAGGTTTACAAAACCTCAGAGTAAATACCAAGCTGAAATGTTTGTAATCCCTCACAGTAAACACTAACCTCAAGGTGCTTGACCTCGTGCAAGTTTTATAACCCCTCAGGGTCAACATTATGCTCAAGTTGTTGGTCAAGCACAGGCAAGCTTTACATGTCCTGGGGTAAAATTAAGCTCAAAGTGCTTGATCTCAGACAAGCTTTGTAAGCCCTCAGGGTCAACATAATGTTCACAATGTTGGTCAAGCACAGGCAAACTTTCATGTCCTCATGGTAAACACTAAGCTCAAGGTGCTTGAAGGGCAAGCTTTGCATGCCCTAATGGTTAAACACTAAGCTCAAGGTGCTTGAAGGGCAAGCTTTGCATGCCCTAATGGTTAAACACTAAGCTCAAGGTGCTTAGTTCAAGGTGACAGATCACAAATTACCAGCCCTCTGGGTTACCTATGATCAGGAGTTTGACATTACTTGTAAGTTGACAGGGTCGGTCTGGATACATTAAAACTCATGACTTCATATATTTGTGGTTGAGAATCAAATAGGGACAACAGTCAAGAAAGCTCTAGATATGAAATAATGCACAATGAAAAAGTTTACTTATCATTTCAAATAAGATTGACTTCCATATTAGGAGCAATTTGATTTTAAATAATCATTTCCATTTTTGCAGCAACAATCGATTAAACAAGGAGGCTGCCAAACACCTTTGTGGGGGAATTAGTCAGAACTTTGGCCTTGAGACTTTACTGGTATGTTTGAATATTCCATGCAATTTTGGAAAATCCTGTTTCACATAGATGTGCAGGAATAATTTGTTTTAATCCAGCCATTATTCATAGTTATTATACTTTTCATGGATTAAAGAAATTACAGGATATGCCTGATGTCACTTGTGGTACCATTGAAGTGAATTTTGACATCGTGAATAACTCTCTTAATGTTTAGCTCACATTTTGGTAATGGTAATTATCTGGTTTTTAATGTAGATGATTTTCTTCCTGCGATCTCATCTTCCTTTTGCCAAGTCAGGGGCAAAAATATGAATTATTTAATAGATTTACATAAGGCTATAGATGATAAAAAATATGTTAATTATTGCAGATGGTAAATTTAGAAAATTCTTTATCTGTTATAAGTGTTTCAGATATTGACTAAAAATATCACCAAATCAATAAAAAATTCTACGATAGATTAAACTACAACGAAATTTAACAAGTTTGTAGTTTGAGGATTAATGTACTATTGTACAAGATAGATTCTTTGATCTTTTCCAGCTGAACCTAAATCCACTGGCAGATGATGGTATAGAACTCATTCTGCAAGGCTTAGCACAACAGGAAAGTTTGCGATATGTTTCACTAGAGGTATGATACATTATTAAACACGAAAAAAATACTTTGAAACAAGCATTTGTACCTTGGTAAATAGTAACAATTAGATATGCATCTGTGTGTATTATTGCTTCACCATCAATTTCTTCAAAGTAGGAAACTCCTGTGTTATTTATTTTCTCGTTTAATATTAGAACAAAACTCTTTTGTTGGTCCTACAAACAGAGAAGAGTTATGCCCCTTACCTTGACAAAATTCTGTCAAATTGAATGTGTGGCATGTATGTGTCAAATGTAATCATATGAAAAACACTAAACAAAAACACACACAAAAAAATTTAAAAAACCAAAATATCAAACAAACAAAAAACCAAAATATACAGAAATATGGAAACAATGTTAAAGATAAAAACAAATATGACTTTGAATGATGTTCTGTATCAAAATTCAATCAATACACTTTTTCCACTGTACATTAATTTTTTTATTTTACAAGTACAGAATCATGTTTCGTTTTTAATTAGTAAACAGATATTGATCTTTCTGTGATTATTGTTGCCATCAATGTTCCAGAACTGTGGGGTAAGTTTAATGGAGTGTAACCGTCATTGGCTTCCCTGTGTGTAGTGTTTGAGAATGCTGGTGATGATGATATATTTACTGTGTAATTTGATAGTTGTTTCTATTGAAGGATTTTTACATGAATAACACAGTGGATGATCAAACTAACATTTTTGCCTGTTTGTCAAAATTTAGCAAGATATTTGGAAAATATTAATTCCAAATTATTTACCTCAGGTAAACAGAATTAAAGTTAAATTTTAAGACTTAGGTTTTAAAAAATAATAATAAGCAGTTGAGTCAGCTTATCAAATAATTCTGATATAATTTTTTTCAAGATACCTTGCATGGTTTGTGTGCATGTGCATGACACGAGGGTTGAAGTAAAACTAATGTTTTCTGTACATAGACCATCATGATTAGTTTGTACATGGCTGTATCCTAATTAGGTTTTAGCTCATCTGCCCTTATGCCATACTGCAGGGTCCAGAGTTTGGCATTTGGTATCCATCAATTTTCTTTTTAAACAATGTCTTCTAGAGAACCTAAAGGCACATAGTCATATTTCGCTGGTATCTTCCTGGAATGGAGCCCAACACAGTTTGCGAGAAGAAAATTACCTTGACCTATAATCAAGGTCACAGGGGTCAAATAAGTCAAACCTTTCAACAACTTCTTCTGGAATATCAAATGGCTTACAGACGTGATATTTGATAGCTATCTCGGAAGGAGTAAAACAAAGTTCACAAATATAGATATCCTTGACTTACTTTCCAGGTCATCTGGGTCAAATATCTCAAAAACATCAAACAACACCATCTGGAATACTGAAAGCCTAAGGACACAATATTTGACTCAAACAAAAGCCTCCTTGAAAGGGTTCAAACAAAACTTGTGAAAAAAAATTACGTTGATATTGTTTTAAGCTAACAGGGTTCAAGTATGTCACAAGTTCCTCTGCAATACTGAAAAGCCTAGAGATGAAATAATGGAATGGTAACTTCCTTGGAAAAAGACACAGCAAAGAGAATAAACATGTATAAATAAAAATGACCTTGACCTCATTTCTAGGTCACATGGGTCAAATATATTGCCTGATATACAGGTGAATTATACAGGTCCTCTAGACCTCTTGTTACACGGCTATTTCCGGGTACATAGTTTTAAAGAAATTGAAATCTGAAATGATTGAGTTGAAAAATAACACGTTTGAACTTGTTTGATCATTGTTTGGAGTCTAACACACCTTACGTTTTGTGTGATGTGAGTTTTTTCACATTTTGATTAGAAAAGACAATAAAGTTAAGTCTTAGACCAAGGTATGGGTGTATTCTTAATGATTTGGTATTGTAGTCTCTGATCTACTGTACGGTTGAATAGTTTGTATAATTAGTTTAGTAAGAATGCTGTATTTATTGGTACAAAGCTGGTAGTTTTACCCTAAAATAATTAATTGCATGGTTGTACATGTAGTTGTATGAATCTTAGTTCACTCACAAGTGAAAAAAAAATCACAAATGCTTAAAATATTTGTGAAGTATGAATATTTTTTCACTTTTATAAAATTGAAATTGTCCTGAATTTTAAACTTATAATTAAAATCATATTATGAAATTTCTCTGTTCTATGAAGAAGTATCTTTATGTTGTGTTTTGTATCATAAAAAGGTTATCAGTGATAATTTCATTATGCTAAATTTCATAGATATTTTGTGAAAAATTAGAGTATTAATATTTTATTACCAGTTATTTGGTCCATTTATGGTATGAAATATATAATGATATGATCACATTTATAAACATCAGAGGAGCTGAGATAGCAAAATAGATTTTCTTGGTTTTCCAGTATGTTTCGGTAAAACATACCAACCCATGCTTGTATTAGTCATTGTAACTTGTAGGAGATGAATGTAAACCCTGCCAACTACAAGAAGATAAAGGAGATTGAAGAATCCAGGGACATTAGTATCCTCCACGGGGGCATGGGAGGATATCAGAGATACTCGGTAAGTCTCAGAACCACAGGGACCAGTAGCCTCCTAGAGGAAAGTGGGGGGATGGGGGGGTGGGGGGGGATGATGGGGGGGGCATGGCATTGTATCCTATGGGAAGATTTGAAAATTTTATTTGTTATATATGGTGTGTTCTTACGTGTACCTATTTACATATCGGCCCAGGTTATTAGAAGATTCAAATGTGTGTTTCCATTCAATAGGGAGATATGCAGTGTATTATCCTTTTTATAACTAGGAAGATATGATTTTTTTTCGTTTATATAGCTAAGAAGATACAAAGATTTGTAACTTTTTAAGGGGTTGGGAGATATGATTTTTTTTCTCATTTAAAAGGAAGGTATGAAGTTTTGTTTCCTTTTCCATTAAAAATATGAAGTTTAATTTCCTTTTGTTATGAAGATATGAAGCTTTTTTACATTCTACTAGGTTGACATAAAGTTTATTTCTTTGTATGATATGGAGATATAAATATACGTAAGCTGGTAAAAGGAAGAAACAAGTGGGTTTAATGGAAATCAATCACTTTTCTTAAAAGTGAATCAAAAGAAAAATGCATTCACAGATGACAGGCAGAACAAATATAAAGTGGTACAATTTTTCTCAGCATCATACACTATGACTGGTTTTTAGCTCACCCTCTTGTTGAAAATGTTATCATTTATCTAATCAACCACTAAATTCCATCATTTTAGTAAGTAAGAAATTGATTGTAATTGTAGTCTCAAGAAAGTGTACTTCGTGTCCTGTCACGATTTCTAAGGGAGCACCGTTCACAGCTGACTGAAGCATGTCATCTACAGGACAAGGACAAAAGTGGCATTCTGTCTACAGATGAACTTAAAGTGGCCTTCAGAGAGGCAGGACTCCGACTTACTAATGTAAGTATGTTACAAAAGTCAAGTTAATACTAAATAGTGTATGTGTCTGGTTAGTGTGAAGTGATCATACTTCTGGGAGGCAGGACTCCGTCTGATTAATGTAAGTGTTTTATGAGTGTGAAGTGTACTTTTTGGAGGCAGGACTCCGTCTGATTAATGTAAGTGTTTTATGAGTGTGAAGTGTACTTTTTGGAGGCAGGACTCCGTCTGATTAATGTAAGTGTGTTACGAGTGTGAAGTGTACTTCTGAGAGGCTGGACTCCGTCTGACTAATATAAGTGTTTTACGAGTGTGAAGTGAACTTCATGGGAGGAAGGACTCCATCTGATTAATGTAAGTGTGTTACAAGTGTAAAGTGTACTTCTTGGAGGCAGGACTCTGTTTAGTGATCTTGAATGAAGACATGTTAGTAAACTTGTCTCACTTGTCTTAGTGTAAAGTGATCTTTAAAGAGGCAGAATTTGTACTCATTCTTAATCAGAAGCATTAAATTCACCAGAAATATTTTTCTTTAATTCACCAGTAGGAGCTATAATTTTGCTCTTTTCTTCCATCCATCCATCTGTCCCTTGTCTTTGAAAGTGCGTAAGCACTGGAGCAGCTTCATTCTTATAGGGATTCTCATCAAATCTCACACACTCATTATGCATCTAAATATATTGGACAAGATCAGGGTGACTGTTACTATTTCTAGAAAAAGATTTACAATGCTCTAGGAGTTTCATTTCCTGAGGTCAAACTTCACACACTTATAAAGTTAGCATCAAATTACCATAGACAAATTAGGGCTTCAAGGAATTTGGGTCAAGGTCAAGGTCACTGTGACTATCTTTAAATCATTTTTAGGCATGTTCTAGATGGATTTTTGGTCAAGGTCAAGGTCATGGTTACTGTTATCATCTTTAAATCATTGTTAGGTATGCTCTAGCTAGATTTTTGGTCAAGGTCAAGGTCATGGTCACTGTTATTATCTTTAAATCATTGTTAGGCATGCTCTAGCTAGATTTTTGGTCAAGCTCAAGGTCACTGTTGTTATTTCTAAATCATTGTTAGGCTGTAGCTGGTGGGGGCCAGTAGGGGACAAGCAATGCTTCAGCATTATTCAGTATGCTTGTTCTTAACTTTGATCTTAATTTTACTTGCAGAAGCAGATGAGCCTGTTGATTGATGATATAGACTCCAGACATACAGGAAGTGTAAATTATGGGTAAGTTACGAACAGGAAGTGTAAGATATGGGTAAGTTACAAACAGGATGTGTAAGATACGGGTAAGTTACAAACAGGAAGTGTAAGATACGGGTAAGTTACAAACAGAAAATGTAAAATATGTCTAAAATTAAAAAAAAACATTTTATAATTAAGATCATAAAAGAAATCACAGCTTGATAATTAATCATAACAGCCTGAAATGATCCAGTATTGTTCGTTAAACATGCAGTTTTCAGTGAAGAGTTAGGAATATACATATTTAGTTTTTCAGGTTTTATATTAATTTTCAGTGTTTTGTGCTTTTTTCATTCACATCTATAATCTTTCTTGCCACCATTTTTCAGCACCATATTTATTCTGCATCAAACCCAGGAGACGGCCATTATTTCATGTCTATTTCTGTTATAGAGACATTCTCAGTGGAAAGGCATTGGGTGATTTCTACAACAGGAAGCCTTCTCTGGGTGCCACCGTTGCCACAACCTACAATTCAAGACCAAACAGTGGCCACAGTAGCTATGGACAACATGTCACAGTGGCCTGATTGTCACTTTGTTGATTATAAGATGAGACATACTGTTGTACAGATTTGCTCAGTTAACTATGATAATAACAAAGTTTTCAAATTACTGACTATCTAGGCAAAAAATATCTTCTTTTTTTTCACACGAATTGTGATGAAAACACAAATTCATGCTCCATTGTACTAGTGACTATGAAATGTCACTATTGTGTGAATTATGTAGTGTTACAAGGGACTTTTAAATAAATGACAATTCCTTGATTATTTAACTAATTAATTCAACACCTGAGAATTTTTTATTCAAGTCATTAAGTTACACTTTTCAGTGTGATTATCAATGAAGTTGTGCTATACAGATAATATTTTCTTATCGCTAAGAATGTGTTTGATGCATGTAGAGGATGTAGTCTGGTTGATCTAGTCATATACCCACAGTTTACTGGTACACTGCTACTTGTAACAATAAGATGTTTACTTTTATCAAATATTTAACCTGTCCAGCAGGATTGTGTAATAGAATTATCTGCTGATCCTTGAGCTATGGAGCAGGATTTTTAAAAAGATGTTTATATTTCAAATTTGATATCGGTGGTAGGTGGTAAAATATATTGGTGCACATAACAGATTGGTATACATGCCCAGTACTGCTGTAATACACAGTAGAGAATCAGATATAAAAGAGAAAAAGTTCATTTTCAGAAAAAACTGTTTGAGAAATTTTGTTGTTATTTTCAAACCACATGTAGATCAATATCAGAGGTGGTTTTTAAAATCCCGCTGGTGTTTTTTAAATTTTGTTTTGGTCTTATTTATGACTATAAAACATATCTATATCAGTTTAAAATGATGCTGTTGCTTATAGTTAACAATATCAATTTGAATACAACATTAGATTTCCACGTTGTTGATGTGTTTGTTGCAAGGATTTTGTCTTTCATTATTTTGTTTTTGATTTGTTTGTGAATTTGGTATTGCTGATGTCTTCCGTTTGTTTGATAATCAATGCTTGTTTCTTATGATAATTTTTCTTGACGTATCCTTCGATGAAGGTTTTACCAGAATTATTTGACTTATGATCATCATACATTCCAGTTTTTACATTTGATTTTGTTGATGTCTTCCATTTCTTTCAAAATCAAGATTTTTTTAATTGAAATTTCCTGATTTACAATGTAAATCATGACTACAGTCTTTCCCCGTGTGTATAATTGGAGGCTATATCCAACAGAATTGTTCCGTCCATATTTGTCAAAGTTTTTCATGCATTTTGGTTTTTATTGTTGAAGATCTTTTACACAAAATATAATTTTATTTGCCTTGAGGTACTTATTAAGACACTTGTATGTTTTGTAATTGTTTAACAAATCAGTTGTAATTTATTGCAATAAATTAATGAAAAATTAAACGAAAAGACTGCAGTAACTTAAAAAGATAAAAGAATATGTTTATATAAATTCACAATGGAAAAATATTTTGTAAAGTTGTTTTTGTGAGCTGTGATAGAGCTTCATATTTGTGCTATGTACAGAATAGGAAACTCTACCAGCTGTATGAGTTGCCTCCCTTCTTAGCTGTGACTATATACAATACTATCAGACCCGTTAGAAAGCTTAAAGGGGAGTTACTTATTCAGGTAGAATGAAGAACATAAATATATTACCTTTTGTATGTTGTTGGATCATGGAGTCAGAATATTCAAAGTCTGTGTCCATGTCTAGATTGATGGAATGTTAAAAAAATCAATGAAGTATATATCAATTGTTAAAATAATCTCATGTCATATAATTACATAATTTAAAAATGATTTATACAAATATTCAACCAAAAACTGAAAAAACATTTCATATATTTTAATTAGGGAATCTAATTTTAACACATGATTTCCTTGTTATTAACTTTACATATAGGTAATATAACCTAATTTGATGTCAGATTTAGGCAATGAAATATTGTCACATGCTCAAATTGATTGCTTCGTGAGGAAACCATGGAGACTCACTGACTTCAAGTTTGACAAGGAAATGTCCGTTTTCTTTGGTATTTGCCAAAATAATTCATTATGTGATAAAAAGGATCAAACATTTGATTCATTCAGTATGTGATTTCTGAAACTCCTCACAAATTTTTTTATTTAAGCTCACCAAAGGTTTGCTGGAATAAAAATTCTTAAACTCATAAAGCACATGTCAGATGGAAGTTTTAGGTCATACACTGTTTCTATATCTATAAAAAAAATCCTGACAATGTCCTTACATAAAATGATACTCATTTGTTGATGCTGTGTTTATTTTCTGATTAGTCTTAAAAATTGTCTAAAATCAATGAGATTTAGTCAGATTATATATGGTTTTTTGTAGCTACAATCACAAATATTACGCACTTTTTAGTTTCATTTTACTATAGTTTTACATTGCTTTATGTACTACCATACAATCACTATATATCTGTTAGTATACAATTTGTTTATCATTATAGTTGCTATGTTTTACATATTGTGTTATTTTCATTATAAGTGTTGTTTGAAATTTAATTTTATATGACATTGTATGTGCATTCAGATGTATAACATTTTGTAAGTTTTGTTATTTACACTTAATTTCGATTTAGATTGATCACAAAATGATCAAGTATGTTGGAGATGGTATGTGCTTTATCAATTATTTCAACGTTTTATTTATAAACGCTATTTATTTTACAACAATTTCATAATAAGTTTCTCAAACTTATATTATATCACTCTTATAGGCCTGAATAAAAGCCCATCAGGGGTCTTACTTTGGAAATGCAGCACCTACAGAAAACCTACATTGTTAAGTGGGTGACCCCATACTTTTTCATATTTATTCTGGATATTGAACCCAAGACGTCTAGGTGAAAGACAAGTGTGTTACCACAGTGACACCCAACCACCAAGTTAATTCATATTTTATTTAATTAGCCCATTATATGTCCAGGTATATTTGATGATATTAGAGTTTTGTGAATTATTTATCATATATATCCTAAAAAGTATAAAAATATTTACATTATGTACCCAGATTGTAGAAAGATTTATTCCTTATGTACAAAACATAGTTCATGTACCAACAGTAAACCAAAGCCAAAATCATTACTCTCCTAGAATTACCAAATTGTCAGGTTTTTATCTCATTTCGAAATGATAACAAGGCTCTTTAAACATGTCACATGATGTTGATTTTTAATTAAGTAAGATTCATTTTTGATAATATGTTTAGGCATATATCAAATATATTTGCCAATGACAGTTAATAGATATATACACTTCAATATTTTGTATTGATAACAGGCTTAAAAAAGAGACCTACAGCATTTTTTTAATATTACATTTTTTTATAGTAGAGAAGGGAACTTATTTTACATCCTCTATTGAAACTGGAAAATAAACAACTAACACTTTTACTAAACAGCCCTATACAAATTAGTTATGGAGACTGGATTGTAAAAAGAAATGCTGATTAGCATAATATATATACTAGACCATTTTATATCTGTACAAGTTGATTTGAAAGACTTTGCTGGAAAACTATTTAGCTGTTGTCAAAGAAACCACTACATACCTCATGATAACTAGTTTTTAATCACAGCCATTTAGTGGCTATTCACTGAAATAAGTTCAAAGAAATGGATCTTTTTTTTTTACAAACATTTTTTTTTTATTTATTTATTTATTTATTCATTTTTTTATTTTTCAGTGAAGATTTTGGATTGTGCATGTGATGTTTTTTTCTTTTTCTTTTTTGTTTTTTTTTGTAATTCCCCTATAGATAAGAAAGTTATTCGGACTGGTTGACAAAATGTTCCGAGTTTATTAAGAATATCTACATATGTATATGATCAGGTGAGAAATACAAAAAGATAAGCATAGCCTATTGATAAAAAAATACCATATAATTTCTAAGGATAGAACTGTCAACTGTAAACACTTTTTTTTTACATTTGGTTTTACACTATTGAATCTCAGTAAAAGTTCAAAACTCATTATGATGTGCTAGAGTTATCTCCCTTAAGGCTGTATGTTCATTCAGATTAGAATTAACATGTTAAAAACAGCTCGATGACAAATTAATGATTGTTTTGACGAGGGAATCCTCAATTTGAACTGTCATGGTATATAACCTAAATTTTGGTGTATACATATCAATGTCTTTTTGTGTAAGGAAGAGAGATATTTTTACATAGTTACGTCCCTGATCCATCTCACAATGAATAACATAACCTTAGGTGTTGGTGGGCCGTAATGACAGTACTACTGTATTAGTCGATTTCAGTCGTATGTTGACCTTACAAACGAAGTAGAAGCCATTATGTTGAATAAATTAAAGTATTTTAAGAACTGTATGGTTGGTTTGTGTGACTTTATAGACATTCCAAAGTCCGGATGAATGAAACAAAGTCTAAATATTTACAGAACTTTTATGAACTGGAAATTAAATTCAATTGACAATGGGAAAGTTTTTCCTCGCATGTTCAAAAGAAGAGGAAATTGCTACGTAATTTTGTTAGGTTTTGCAATTCCTTTACATGGTTTTCTTTATAGAGGTTATTTTTTTGGCCCCATCGCACTTGGAAGCCTTGAAACGCGGACTTTAAACTACACTTTATGTTTGGGAAAACGTTTAAATTTTAAAATTAAAAAAAAATCTATCATATAACACCAAATGCTCTCAAAACACGTTTTTGACCTGTCAGCTAGTAAATAACTAAACTGCAGAATAAAAAAAAATGGGGAAATGGTTTAGTATTACAGATAATGTTACACAGGGATATGGGTTGCGTGTGAGTCTGATTAATGTTTTCGTCGGTGTCGCCATTAGCCCCCGAGGATTTGATTTCGGAGTAAAATGGAGATTGAAACTGGATAACAGGGTGGGCGGGTGCGAGACAGGTAATGAATAGTATGGCTTACCTGTACCCAAGGCTATTATAACTGTACAGGTAGCAGATTAAATCGATAAAACATTAGGATTAAGTACTGGTACGTGACCTGAAGCATATACCTTACAATAATCAACACTAGGCACTTGTAAATAGCCAATAATGTATGTGATTATGTTTCATAACATAAAGGGGCATTATATGTTGATATAAGATGAACTATATGTATGAGAAGATGTGCTAATGAAATTATTTTTGGACGAGAAAAACAGTTCAATAATAAAGAAACGCTCTTACACAAAATTTGTTCAATAATAAAGAAACACTCCTACACAAAAATAGTTCAATAATATCACTCTTACAGAAAAAATAGTTCAATGATATGGATGCACTCTTACAGAAAAATTGTTCAACGAAATGTAAAATGGCGTACACTGTATTTAACGATCCTTTCTTTAACATCTTCATACTCGTTGATTTCGTTAAAACGCGATTTCACAATATTCGCCAAGTTCTTAAATATTTTCCCGTGCTTGTGGCTTTGTATAACGACACTTTGTATAAAGCTAACAATGCTTTCCATATGTGTATCGGTGGAAGACAGATAGTGTCCGTTCCCACTGGCCGACACGCCTCATTGGAAGATGTGAGAGATGCATTACTTGTCAGTGGTGGTATTTCACGTCATAGAGATCGAATTGGGGGATTGACTGGGGATAATTCGCGAATAAATGAACTTGTTGTATCATAAAAGCAAACATTGTCATCGAAAACATGATAACTAATACCTACATACAACTATGACTTATTATAGATGTGTTTTGATGGTAATAAATACCTGTAATTAATGTTACTGTTGTATAATTACGAAATTTAACAATCAAGCTTTATATCCAGGTAACACTTCATTTTATTTGATAAAATTTAAGATATGTAAACCGTTATGTGGGAAATGGCCAAATTCTATTTTATACATATTTTTTATCTTCTATTTTTTTCATAGTTCATTTTTTCCCAAATAAATGTACTGTTATATGACACTGTTGACAAGTGTGACTATAAAGATCACAATCTTGTCAAATTATCAAGGTAGCAGATATTAATTCAAATTAAATTGTTACAGAAAACATTAAATCTTACATATCTATTAATTTAATGCGTCAAGTGACAAGATAGGGATCTGATATGTTCCTGTCAATCCCGACCCCTCGGGGCCCCTTTCACAACCAATAGAAAAGGTCAACAGACGATGAGACAATGTCGATTTAGTAAATCTGTTTTGTTTTTATATTTCAGTCTTGTGGTATAAGATTCCTGTGAATAGATCGACGAACAGGTGAAGTGAAATGTTGGAGAAAACATCACACTTCAACTGATATGGACTGAAAAGATTATAAAGATAAAAAATATTTTAAAATAGGATTTAATAATGTGTGTGTTATGGAATGTAATTTACATTTGAGATATTAGACAATTTATCGATTCAACTTCTACAAAGGACAAAAGAAATCCGTTAGTTCCTAGAAATCCAGGATACGTTTGATGAAGTTGAATCAACATGGATCCAAACGTACGAGCTACCTTGTTGGAAATGAATCGGAGAAGAAAGTTCCGGACCGAGGCTCTAAAACGATCACATGAAAAAGTGAAACGAGAACTCTCCGGAAAGTTAAAACTAAAAAAAGTGTGGAAATCTATCAACTCCGTAATCCCGAATCCGAGTTGCTCTGTACAATGCACCAGTTCCTTCTTAAATGAACTTTTCCCATTCTGGCGCATTATGAGGAAATACAGTTTAAGAAGGTTTTTATTATCTGACTTCCTGGCTGGACTGACGGTGGCCATTGTCCATATACCACAGGGTATGTACTTACATATTGCGCTGGCTATCGTATGATGTTCACTCTACTTCGGGTACGCTTATTCGTAGTGCTCAATTTTCTTGGGGTTTAAAAATAATATTTCGTAGACAATTAATTTTGTGGATAAGTATAATCGAATAAATCTATTTATATCTATTTTAACTGTAAGTGGACATATGATTCGTGGATTAAGGAAACTCTCGAAATCAACAAAAATACATCCCCCATGAAAAATAATTTTACAGTTATCCATCAGGAAATATTTAACGCAGGTACACTCGGTACAGGTTATATTCAACATAGGTACGCATGGTACAGGTTATATTCAACACAGGTACGCATGATACATGTTATATTCAACACAGGTACGCATGGTAAATGTTATATTCAACATAGGTACGCATGTTACATGTTATATCCAACACAGGTACGCATGGTACAGGTTATATTCAACACAGGTACGCATGGTACAGGTTATATTCAACATAGGTACGCATGGTACATGTTATATTCAACGTAGGTACGCATGTTACAGGTTATATTCAACACCGGTACGCATGCTACAGGTTATATTCAACACAGGTACGCATGGTACATGTTATATTCAACGTAGGTACGCATGTTACAGGTTATATTAAACATAGGTACGCATGGTACAGGTTATATTCAACACCGGTACGCATGGTACAGGTTATATTCAACATAGGTACGCATGGTACAGGTTATATTCAACATAGGTAAACTTGGTACAGGTTATATTCAACATAGGTAAACTCGGTACAGGTTATATTCAACACAGGTACGCATGGTACAGGTTATATTCAACATAGGTACGCATGGTACAGGTTATATTCAACATAGGTAAACTCGGTACAGGTTATATTCAACATAGGTAAACTCGGTACAGGTTATATTCAACACAGGTACGCACTGATTGCACATAGTATAAATTGCATAGGAAATATTCAGTACGGGGTACGCATGTTACAATGTATGGTCAATGCAAGATACTTCGTGCACGGTATATTCAACACAGGGTAAGCATTCTACGGGATATATTCAACGCAGGGCACGTATTGTATGATATATTCAAAACAGGGTACGCATGGTAAGGGGAACGCATTGTAAATGGAATATTCACGATCCGGTGTAATGTAAAGGGTATGTATTGTGAACAGTTTCTTCAACAAGAGGTACACGTACTGTACATGGTATATTCAACACGGTACGTAACGCACAGGGAACAAATTGTACCTGGTATGTTCAACACATGATGTATTGTATAGTATATGTATTGTACAGGGTATGTTATACACATTGTACTTATCATAGTGTGTGTTCAACACAGGGTACATAATGTACAGGGTGGCTTACACATTGTCCAGGGAATATTCAACACTGTATTGGGGACGTAGTATATTCCAAAAAGGGTATGTACTGTACAGAGTGCACAGGGATGTACTGTACGGTTTAAAGGATACGTACTGAACAAGGCATATTCAACAAAGGGAGTGTACTCTGCATGGTACATAGGGAATTATTTACAATGTACAGGTGACGGACTGTACATGGTACATTGTACATTGCCTGCATGTTTTAAGATGTACCTTAAACTATATCTATCAAAATTTATTAACATCATGCTACATCCATTTTTTAAATAATTCTTTGTGTAATAACTTGTAGGAATGGCATATGGACTGCTTGCAGAGTTACCTCCCGTTTATGGACTTTACAGCTCGTTTCTTCCAGTACTAACGTATTTCTTCTTTGGCTCATCGAAACACATATCTATGGGTAAGTATTCTTCTGAAAATCTGTCGTCATGTCTATGTATAAATACCCCGAAACACATATCTATGGGTAAGTATTCTTCTGAAAATCTGTCCACGTGTCTATGTTTAAATACCCCGAAACAAATATCTATTGGTAAGTATTCTTCTGAAAATCTGTCCACATGTCTATGTTTAAATACCCTGAAACACATATCTATGGGTAAGTATTCTTCTGAAAATCTGACGTCGTGTCTGTGTTTAAATACCCCGAAACAAATATCTATTGGTAAGTATTCTTCTGAAAATCTGTCCACATGTCTATGTTTCAATACCCCGAAACACATATCTATGGGTAAGTATTCTTCTGAAAATCTGACGTCGTGTCTGTGTTTAAATACCCCGAAACACAGATCTATGGGTAAGTTTTCTTCTGAAAATCTGACGTCGTGTCTGTGTTCAAATACCCCGAAACACATATCTATGGGTAAGTTTTCTTCTGAAAATCTGACGTCGTGTCTGTGTTTAAATACCCCGAAACACAGATCTATGGGTAAGTTTTCTTCTGAAAATCTGTCCACGTGTCTATGTTTAAGTACCCCGAAACACATATCTATGGGTAAGTTTTCTTCTGAAAATCTGTCCACGTGTCTATGTTTAAATACCCCGAAACACATATTTATGGGTAAGTTTTCTTCTGAAAATCTGTCCACGTGTCTATGTTTAAATACCCCGAAACACATATCTATGGGTAAGTTTTCTTCTGAAAATCTGTCCACGTGTCTATGTTTAAATACCCCGAAACACATATCTATGGGTAAGTTTTCTTCTGAAAATCTGTCCACGTGCCTATGTTTAGATACCCCGAAACACATATCTATGGGTAAGTTTTCTTCTGAAAATCTGTCCACGTGTCTATGTTTAAATACCCCGAAACACATATCTATGGGTAAGTTTTCTTCTGAAAATCTGACGTCGCGTCTGTGTTCAAATACCCCGAAACACATATCTATGGGTAAGTTTTCTTCTGAAAATCTGTCCACGTGTCTATGTTTAAATACCCCGAAACACATATCTATGGGTAAGTTTTCTTCTGAAAATCTGTCCACGTGTCTATGTTTAAATACCCCGAAACACATATCTATGGGTAATTTTTCTTCTGAAAATCTGTCCACGTGTCTATGTTTAAATACCCCGAAACATATATCTATTGGTAAATTTTTCTCTGAGAACCTGTCAATTGTGGTGCCTGCAAATCAACATGACGATTTTATGTGTAATTTTATCGTCTAGACTTTTTTACACGTCTGTTTAACTTCTAGTAAATTCTAAACACGTTTTCTATGTTTAACAACTAGTGAACCTAAACACATGTTTATGTTTAAAGACCCCTAAACACATACTTATCTTCAAATTATTGGTGAATTTTCAACACGTGTCTTTGGTAAACTGTTGATTTATAAACCTGTGTGTGGATAAATGATGACCTCTGAGAAAAAAATATGGGTATCTATGACAATCCAACGCGTTCTAAAGCTAAAGAGTGATACTATGATGGAGAAGTGTTGAGATATGTACATGCCTGTATTGGTAATGTTGACAGTGTAACACGTGTTTAAAGGTAAATTAAATATCGACATCTTGTACATACTTATCTAACACGGGTCCGATTTACATTTCTGTTGACGAATAAGGTCATACCAATCAGAAGTTTGAACAGAGACTAAAATAAGGGCAACAACTCTTGGACCACAGGCGTCCAAACACTTTTGTTACAATAACCATTATAGAAACATTGATGGAAACTGTTTTTTCACTTTATGTTCCCGCAGGGTGAATATACTCACCTGATAATCAATACACGTCCTGTCATCAGTGTACTATTGTATAACATTGTATGGTCTGTTTGATGGTCCGGAACAGTGCTCCGATGTCTGCTTTCTCAATTAGTTTACCGTGAGAGCAGTACTTATGTAATTGAACGTTCCGAATTACAATTTTGTTTTGTTTAGTCTGTTTAACACGGAAAACTGAATTGTATTGTGTATTGACGTTCCAGTTCAGTGGAACCTGCACTGTTGTCTACTCAATACGCTTACAAATTACCCAGAGTGAGCAAAATTCCATGATGACTAGATAGTATTTTAAATATTAAGATAATTTAATGTTGATTGACTTCTTTTGTTTAGGAACATTTGCAGTGACGAGTTTGATGATAGGGTCGGTGGTCCAGGAGGGTCTCGAGAGATACGAGGCTTTGCATGCAGGTACTGCCACGTCTAACTCTACGACCGTTGAAGCGTGGGACATCATTAACGTTACACAAACGACAGTCTACAATACTAACGCTTCCGGGGATGGCTTCAATGTACTCCAGGATTCTGGCGGCAACCCAGCTGAAAACACCTTCTCTGAACTAGATCAAATGAAAATCGCATACGCTATGTCTGCCACGTTTACCGTTGGCGTTTTTCAGGTGTGTTAAAACTTGGTGTTGCCGAATTTTATTAAATTAGGAAATAATCACACGAGGAGAGAATGATTAGGTCTGGCACTATTTAAGTTGTATTGCATCCGAGAAAAAATCTGCAGAATGTGTTTGTAAAATGAACAGCAGTAGAATATACACTACATAACTTATTGAGTATTAACTGTTTGTGCATGTCACACTGTATCAGTCCAACTGTAAACATTTTACAAATAATTGCAAATAAACATTTCCGTGTGTCAAACTTGATGTACTGGTGTACATGTCATATATGGACATTGCGATAATATGCAAAGATACAAAACATAAAAACAAAACAAAAAACAAAACCCAAAAATAAAGCAATTAAAAGATACATGAAGATCGAGTAAATCAGAATTAAGTGGTAAAAAGTAGCGAAAATCTTTCATTTTTCCTTTTTCTGCTGAGACCGAATATGATATTACACGCACAAAGTTGGCCTTTTTATAGTTATGATACTGTACCTGACATCTGTTTTGCCTTTTTTTGTAGCTGCTGAGATAAATGGTTGATATAATTTCGTTTGGCCTTGAAATTTTAATAATTGATATGCCATGATAGAGCTTGATGTCCTGCTCTAGTTCCGACATTCAGTATGGTTAATTCTATCTATTACAGCTGATGATGGGCGTGTTCCGATTGGGATTTCTCGCCTCGTTCTTGTCAGACCCGCTGATTAGTGGATTTACCACGGGTGCGGCGGTGCATGTATTTTCCAGCCAAGTGCATCACCTCTTCGGGGTCAAAGTTCATCCCTACCACGGTCCACTGCGTCTCATATACGTTAGTAAATGTTTTAGTATGCTCTTATCTTAATTGATATGAAAACGCCACGAATATAACGAATAACATAGCTTACATGTCAATCAATCTGGGAATATTTATTAGGGGTTCATTGAAAGGTGGGTAATATGCTTCTCACGTGTCATACTAACAATAATTTAACAGTCATGCAGCTCTTCCATAACACGTTATACGTGAGGTTACGCTTAAAAGTAGACAGTTCAGACTTCTAAATGATCCATATTTTACTTTAACTCAGCACGGTTTTCGTCGAAACTTCCAACAGTTTGGACATGGCATATAGTTCCTAAGACTTTATTTAAAATGTATTAAATATTGAGAATTTGAGTGGCTTGTAATTTGTAAAAGCCCATACAAGTCTCGTCATCATTGATGCCGCTTATTGATTCGCGCCACGAGTAACAGCGTGACGTCATGACTATTGTTTCCATTCTCGGAGGAAAAAGTCCTTAATCGATGACAAAATGTGAATAAATGATGATTATAACAGCGGTAGATTGTTCATTAATTTGAAATTAGAAAATTTAGTGAAGTTAATTTCCCCCATGTCACGTGACTTAGCTCGAACGTTCGCCAATCACGTGTACTCTGTTTTCCGAATTGTCGGAGTACTCATTAAGAAAGAGACGCTTAAGCTATTAACCGCTTATACAATCTACTTTTAATGACATATGATCTCAATAGGGGATACTTTACTGCTTATGCACAAAACAGCATTTTGAAGTTATGACGCCATCTTTTTCCTGTTGTTGAAAACATGCGTTCTTTAAGACGTCAAAATGACTTCATTAGGAACACGCTGATAGCGTGTCAGTGTCATGGTTATGAAACCTCGTTAAATAGAGAGAAATATTAAATTAAGAACGACAAATCTGAGGTCACTGAACCAAAATTCGTAGAGAACCGTACATCGAATGTTTAGGAAAGCAACTTGATCTTGATACGAACCATCCTCACACTTAATACTATGAAGGAAAATGTCTTGGAATACAGATTGGAGTTTGTTCTTTAAAGACGTTTGTAGGTATTCTTGTCATATGTGTTCACTTAACTTTTCTCATCAACACGATCCTATTATTTATTAAATTTCAAATTCAATTTTTAATGTACATTTCCAATTGCATATTTGTAAGTACTCAGCATTTACTCACACTTTTACCATCTGGAACATCAATCATAACTGATATCCTTAGTCTTGACAAAAGATATCATTTCAAACCTTTACCCACAAAACACCTGTTCTCTTTTCAGAATGTCGAACGAATCAAAATACCATTTTAATACGAATACTTTTGTACAGTTTTACAGAGATTTTTTCAACAACATCGAAACCGTGAACCCAGTCACGGCCACGGCATCAGTCACCTGTATATTTGTCCTCGTCCTCATCAAAGAAGGAGTTAACAACAACCCGTCGTGTCAACAGGACCTCCCGGCCCCAGTTCCTATAGAGCTAATTGTGGTGAGTAACGTTTCCCTTTAAACCCTCGACCTTCCATTCCTTAGAAATGTGATGTAAACCGATGACAAGAAATGACCGTTTACAAATCAGTCGAATGCTTTAGACTCCAACTATACAATCGACGCTCGTCTGCGATATTATTCTCGATCCTTCATGGAAATTGCCATCCCTCATAGTTTCCAGGATTGCTTGGGAACTAGGAACGTTTGCATAGAGAACAAATTTACCACCATTTGTGATGATTAATAGAATCTTTCACTCCCTTCGAAGCGAGATGAGGGGAGCTCAATGCAAAGCACGAGGCTTGTTGAGATCAGGGAATTTTACAACAGTTAAAAAAAACGTGGATATACCTCTCCAGGTTAACACACAATGACATTCTCTGTTATGTTCATATCATACAATCACCATCGTAATTGGCCTTTATTGAAAACATACCACTAAACTGAACACGTTTGCATCATTCTGATTGGACTCAAATGTTGGAGACTCGACGACCGTTAGTAATTCCACAATTTTTTTTGGATTTCTTCAGTCTGGAAAAGATGGAATAAAAGTATTACATTCAATCTATATACAAACCTACCATTTAATAATACCTCTTGTGAATTCTATATCGATATGGCGTCATTAAAATCATTATAATTCATAATACAATACCGGATGCCAACTCTATCGAAATCTATAGAACAATCCATATTTTAGCAAACAGGACGGCGTTAAGCACCTAAGCAAAACTGACTATAATGCAGAGATATCTGCAGCCGTGCACTCTTAAGGTTTTTTTCAATAGTTTACATTGTTAATTGATGTAACGTCATTTCTTTTCTTAAAAAAGTCTGAAAGATCTTTTGAAGCATTTTATCTGTTTCATGGTTTATGTAGATAGGACGTCTGATTGAATCGCTCATCAGTAGAAATATTTTCCATTGCAGCTGTTTTGTTTCACTTCAGTTTTACATCTCAGCCTTAAAATGGTTATTTACCATCGATAACTTTATCAATTAGAACTGAAAAAATGAAAAAAAAATTAATCTGCTATTAAAATAATTATTTTGTGCAAATGTGCTTTTCCGTTTGAATTGATGATTTTGGTATATATTTGATGTATAGGGAGACATTTTATCGTGCCTATGTTACGTGTAATGACAAATTGTCCTCATAGATAATACCCGATACTGTCTACCGATGGTTATCTTATTGATTTCTGTTCATCAAAGGTTATTGCATCAACTGTGATATCGTATTATACGAGAATACACGAGGAGTTCCAAGTGGACGTGGTGGGCATGATTCCGAGAGGGTGAGTAACTTATTGTAAATATAATGGGCGCGTATAGAAGTATTATTCTTGTCACCAAAATGTAAGACCAAAGAACAAAGAATGCATTTCTGATGTTATGACATTCCAGTACTTTTACGCAAAAGGTGTTTATCGTCTTTAAGATAACAGTCTTGGTTGGTAAACGTTGAAATGTGATCCTCCAATATGCCAGTTATGGTTAGAAACTGTTTAAGTCCTGCTAGCACCTTTCTCTACACTTATTGTGTATTATAAGTTCTTTAATAATTGACTTGTAGTGTCATGTTGTATGGACATATTGTAGCTGTCTTAAGACACATGTGAAATAAAACAATTGTGATGTTGTAAATAGGTCACGTCTTGAGAACTAATGATTATCTCAGTCATAAAAAACGTATCGTCCGCGTCGAAAAAAGTCTTGTCATAGGAAATGTGATAAATAGAATCTTGCACTCGTGTCTTCTAGCGTAACACATTATATGATGCCCATATAAACTACTATCGTCTCCCTGCATCGTATGGTGTATATACTTTATCTATCGAAGTATCTTATTGTTGATTTCAATGGTCCTCTCTGGTTTAGACGTAGGACATTAACAATTAATTCATTGCAGGTCCTGATATGAAATCCTTCAAAATTCTATAAACTTTCAGCGAAATATAAAATAGGAAATTATTTCTCAGACAATTATTATATTCTATAGTGCTGGCTAACAGTTTCTTCATTACAAATGTCTATTAATTGGAAGGCGTGTTTCTATATTATTCATTACATCATACGTTATACACTTCAGCATATCCTTATATAATGTAATGACATTAACATACTGCGTTAGTTGTATTTTCAATAACATGGTAAATACTGCATAACCTCGTACAACATCTCAACATATCAAAATAGAAGCCTTGTTGTTTGGCATTGTAATACTATAACAGTATCATAATCAATATTTCTTCATTGTGTCGAAGCTTTGTGAACAATTTCCTATATCAATCGACGTCAATCATCACCTTTTTGCATCATATTTCTTTAGAAATTAGAATACTCTTCCGTGTGAATATTGTACACCCCAGACAGTTATTCAGTATAATTGTATTAAATATTAACATCTCCTTCACCAAGCCTGCCCCCTGCCAGCGCCCACGACTTACGGTATGTGTGGGAGACATTTGCAGACGGATTGATGATGGGGTTCGTGGCATTCACCATCTCATATGCCATGGCCAAAATTCTTGCGGAAAAACACGATTACGCCGTCAACACAAACCAGGTACAAAGAGCTTTGTTAATCAGTAATAACTGCTCACCACTTCCCATGTCTGTCATATTATCGCTTAACTATCTGCTGCATGTCTCATTAGCATTGTAATTAATTTTTAAATGCGAATCTAAGTATTATTTTCATGTTCTCCAATATCTTTGTTTATACAACAACACCAATGTACTAGTGATTTCAACAGAAGTTACATTCGTTTGTTCAGAATGCAGTTTGTCTTCAATGAAACTTTTTTTTTATTAACTTTTAACATTGCAGGAACTTGTCGCTAACGGGATGTGCAACTTCCTGGGGTCTTTCTTCTCTTGCTTCTGTTCGGCAGCATCTCTGTCCAGGAGTCTGGTACAGGACAATGCGGGAGGTTGTACCCAGGTAAGACCGTTTTGGAATACCATTGCCTTCAAGCGAACCTTTTTTATGTCATGAAAACGCGATGTCGTTTTTTCCTTGCATGTAAAAATTATTTAACGCTTTTTTATATTTTGTTAATGCTATTTTAAGACATATGTATAACTAATATATAAGAGACAGAACTATGATGTTGAAGTTACGCTCATGGATCGTATAGGAATTATTGATTTAAACGATAATTGCTAACAATTGTTTAGTTGTTTGGTATTGTTTGGAGGTTTGTAAATAGTGAAATCAAACATTTAGTAAAAAGAGCCTATATTTTTTGTATTTTATCTGTTCATTACAATGTATTATTATAACTAAAAGAATATTGTTGATGTTTCTCTTTTGCAGATGGTAGGGATATTCTCATCCTTTGTTCTGCTCATTGTTTTACTTTACATAGGACCCTTGTTTTCGTCGTTGCCAAATGTAAGTACATCGTACTAGTGATGAAAGCCAATTCATTGATTATTAGATTTGAAAACAACAACAAAAAATATCAAAACTACAATCAGCAGTTGACAAACACGCATTTGGTGGCGTGACGTAACACAGATCAGATGGCTTTAGTGCTGGTATTTTAACAATTTTTCATAGTTTTCTAAAGAAGCTTATTCGGTCAATGTAAATAATCTATCTGTTCCCTGTGGAATGTAATTGCGATCGAGGGCTTTTATTGGCATGTTGACAATGAATGATTGATTACAACTTCCAAACCACTTATAAATGACAGGTTTCAGTATGATATAAATATAGGTTTAGATGTGATGCACTTTCTCATTGTTATTTCACGTTACTTATTGGATTTTTGTGGCATCAGAATTTGGTTTAGGCATGTTCGAAATTGTTGCTGAATTGTTTTAACTGAAAGCACTTTACAAAATCGAAATTGCAAAACATGGACATATTTTCCCTATATATATTATCCAACTTAAAACTAGAAAAAAATATGTGATGAAACAGTGTTGCATTTGAATGCGTCTGTGTATTATTATTTCAATTGGATATTCAAAACGCTTCAACCATGAGATTCATGTAAATCATTAATATCTCAAAACTTTCTAACGATCTACCAATGTCAGCAGACATGGAAAATAGACGACTATTTTAAACATATCTAGATATTGTTATATACAATATATATGATGGAGCAAGTTGTCCAATCATTTATATTGCATGCCGAGCATCAGAACCAAAATTCCGTTTTTACACAACGCTTACAGAAACATGAGATTCATTATATATAATAAATAAGTGCACACTACTCAGCTTTTATCGCATGATCAAATGCAGTTGATAATGATATGGTGAAATTTCTGCTCAACTGACGGTTTTAGAAATAACATTAGACCATTTTTGACACACTAATCTGATTGAACGCTTTGAAGTATTTGAAATCTGTCAGAGCTTTGTTATGTGCTTAATAGCTTAATATGACTTTTATGAAAAAAATGAATTTTCTCATATAAAGACGAGTCCTGTTGACCGGATATATTTATTTTCCATCGTCATGGATGTACAGGAGACAGAACAAAAAGCAGATATAAGCTAGCTATGTAAACTAACCCCACTTACTGATGACAATCATGTCACGATGATATGACATAGTCATTTCCATTGTAGTCTAATGACACGTGTCGATTACACGGACACCAATACCTTGTACCTGTCGATCAAGGGAATTATCTGTTGGACAATAATATTTGTTTACAGTGGGATAGATAACGCGAATAATGTAATTTTGTATTCTGATAGCAATACAAAAGACTCATCCGAAAATGTTGCTGTTTATTTGAGATGCAATCAATACTGTTAAATAGTATGTTTAGAAACGGGTCATATTGGATTTCTATCATTCTGCAAATACAACCCACTTTTGAACTCTTTCATCCCAGCGTAAAGTATTTCAAAAATACCTAAAACGATATCAATATTTCACCTGCCTATGAATAATTCACACCGTCATACCGTTAGTTTTGTGTATGCTAACAGACACACTACATGACCGAGGATAGTCCTTTATGTCGAAACAAATATTCTACAAATCAATTCACTTTCGGGTCCCCAAAACCTACAACTGATAAAGCCACACTTTGTTTCCGGCAAAAGTGAAAGGCTACTGAAATTGTGTAAATGCTGGCCGAACCCCGTGTGAGTTTCTTTGTGAATGGGATGCATTCAGTGTCTATGACAATGGTATCTACTACAAGGTATCACTCAACAAACCCGTCCATATTCTCGGCTGTCCCATGAGGCCTCGCAGGCACGCGCTGGAACGACACAGCGCGTGAAGCAAACTAATATATGATATCGAAGCCAATAAGTGACGGCGCATTCCATTGTCACCACCAACTTCGAGCGCTAATACCGATGTGGTAGGCCCTCATACCGGTATGGTATAGATGACAAACACTTATACAATACAAATTTTGTGGGATTTGTAGTACTAATTGGTGTAGGACCGCTTTGTGGTGATTCGATAGGTTCACATATAGCTGTTATATGAAGACTGATGAAAACATAACAGGTGACATATAGAACGTATCCACTGTAGTACAGGTATTGATGTGTAGTCGTTATACCCTCAGCATACTCCTGATGATTATGCTATGAATATTTAATACAAATACATTGCTACCTGTTCATGTTTCTTATATTGACAGTGCATCCTGGCTTGTATTGTCATCGTCACACTGAAAGGCATGTTCAAACAATTCAACCAGATGCGAGTTCTGTGGAAGCTGTGTAGGCGAGATTTTGTAAGTCAAAAAACCTTATTGCATGTGTCAGTATGACAAGGTGATGGGAAACTAATCGAAGATCTGAAAATAAATAAGCTATGCAAGATTGATCTACCGTGACAGTGGAAAAACAAAACAACGCTAGTGGCTTAGTAATGATCGGAAGCTGCATGCAAATTGGCTTCAATATTTGCGGTCACGGTAGTGGATAGAGCTCATACAGGATGAATAGAAGATGATTGTCACCGACAATGGACTTGCATTGGTGTTACCTGGATTCTGTTTGAGTTCGTTGATGACATCTTGACATTTGAACCATTTTTTGTGATGCAATTCATCAGTGCCTTATTGGGGAGACTCGGAGTTCGTTTCCTCCGAATATGAGAATCGTGATATCAGACATTACCTAATTCAGTCTCTTAGTTCTGTAATTATGTTTTATCGGAAGTTTGTTTTTTTAAAAAAGAGTAGTTGATGTAATGATGAAAGCAGAAAAAGCGCCATGGATTTAATTTTTTAATGATTTTAAACTTTATAAGATTTGGAGTTAAATTATCGGTTTCGATAAATGTAATGATATTGGACCAGGAAAATGTGAGAGTTTATAAATCAATGGAGCCATCACCAATTCGACATGCTCCAGTATGGATGGGATGGACGAAAGAGATCAAGAGGTACGCTACTTCTCCCATGACTTTTCTACATAAATAACTCTTGTTTGACTTTGCTGCTTTTACAGTCAACATGTTGATGTGACCACCAACTTTCTATTTTCTTTAAAGCTTTTCTGCAAATTCTATCAACAAGAACGGTATGTTTTCTAAGTTAAGAAAATAATTTGATTTTTGAGATTTTTATTAACAAAAATGTGAATCCTAGTGAAAAATAAAATAATGCAAAATTCCTGTTAAAAGTCTGGTCAACTTCAATATGTCTTAAAGGAAAGTGCAAAGTCATTTTTATTGTAAATATCTCCATGTATCAAATAGCATTACATGCAATGTTATTCCATAACAGTATTCTAGCATAATTTCTTCTTCTTAACAGTAATAGAGATTTTAGTAACAACTTTAGAAAATTAATACTTATGAGTTAAGAATTTACGTTCACAGCATTAAACAGGTAATTGATGGTAACGTATTATTGATCAACCGTTTTTTATATATATTGACAAATTTATGTTAACGAGTATCGCTCAACCAGTTGTTTTGATATATCAGTTCTTTTGATGAAGAGAATCTCATAAGCAATATTCAGGAATTTTATGTCTATTTGCTCATATATGAACATATTTACATAATTGTATTAGTATTTTACTGTTTTAAATTTCATTGCATCTTATTTGGAAGCAGCACGTGTTCTTCTGAGAAAAAAACCATTATGTGTTTGACCCTAACGTCTACCTGTTCTACTGTGCATTTATTGATTCCTTTTCATTCATTCTTTAAAGTTCAATAGATCTGTCATACTTTTATGTTACTGTTGTCTATAATTAAACATCTCTTACTATGATTGACAAGCATAGATAGATATATGTACGATAATCAGATGTTGCTTTAGAAACGTAACGGCCTTTTAATTAATTGTGAAAAGAAATCAAGATTGATTTTGATTCCATATAGTATACCAATGTCACTTCTTACACCCAGGATAATGTGGATTTTGATTCTCCTACCTCAGTAATCACAATTAGACAATATTTGCCTCATTGTAGGAGGGATTCGCACCGTTAAAAACGAGGATGCTTACTTTAATCACACATGAATATATTCATACATTACCTTCAAAACTTTGACGTTATACTCAGATACTAGCATTGCACTATGACCTCACTTTTGTCACTCCTGACCTCATTGCACAAGCTTTTAATGATGGTAATTCCTCCCACTTCACCCTGAATACTAGCAGATATTGTAAGTATTCTGCTTTTGCATAATCGATATATCTCCATATCATAAGTTTTAATTTACTTATTTATCGCTACTTCCGTTACAATTTCTAAAGCACATTTGAACAAAAGACTCTCGCGTTACCATTAAGAGAATAAATATTTAAATACCATCACTTTCATTCCCCAAAAGAAATTTATTTTTGCTTGTAACATTTGCATTTAAACAGAGACTTTATCGAGCGTGGGAAGAAATAGGCGATTTTTAAAGAAAGACCTTGGAAAGTTAAAAAAAAAAAAAAGATTTTATACCCAATGTACCTTTAAAATGTAAACATGCGATGAACTAATTTAACTGTAGAGAAACAACTTTCGGTAATGTGTTATGATTTGTTAATATTGTCTAATTTTTGTCATCTTTCGTGACCCACCTCCCCGAGTCATTTCATTACATTAATTCATTAAAATAAACTATTGTTAGGAACTTAATGTCGATGCAAAGAATATCTTAGACCACTGCGCAATAGCTCAGTCACTGTTAGGTAAAAATCCCAAGCTATGTGATTTCAAAATATCTCATTTCCGAAAGTAACAGAATATTTGTAAGATTTCACATATCTAATCACATACTTTCTATCGTGTAATATATATTTCTGTTAAACACGACCAATTTGAGTGTCTCGCAGATATTAAGTGCATGCTATCATTTCCGTTTTTTTTAGGTTAAGAATCATTAACACTTTTGATATAAATAACTTTGTGTCTGCTGAAGTTTCAACAGAAAAGACATATTGTGAAAAGCGTATTCCCTAAAAGGGAACTCTTCTATTGAATAGTATATATCAGCACTTTTTCATGATATTATAGTGAATGCATTGTATTTACTTTATTTGACAACTAGTTTACAATTGTAGGGTCATAAATTATTTGTGAAAGTCATGACAATGCATTAAATCATTAGCTTCTGAGAGTTTTGCTTGTTTCATAGCGCAAAGTTGTCAGGATTTTTTTAACAGAAGGAGAAATTCAAACTTATTTAGTAACATTTAATCCTGTTTGTATAGAACAATTTATTAAATTGCCTGTTATTATAAAAATAAATAAAGGAAATCGGAGTTACATGTACATAGATGATTTTCCTTCAAGCTGCAAAAAGATTAAAGTTTAAAGAGCTCAGGATTGCATTATCAATAGAAAACATCATAATATAAGTATTGAGTAAAACTACTCGTTTAGCGTTAAAATGATCTTTTTATATTAAAAGTTAAGCGTATTCGAATGATAGATTCCGACTGTAACATTAGCTGTGTTGCAGGCCTGTACTTGTCATTGACATGTCTGTAAGGTAGTACATCAGGTTCTAGGTCGTGAATGACACCATGAAGGCGGCCATCCGTGTCTTAATAACTTGCCGCCATGGCAATGATGACACAAAACTTTAATTATTTAATGTAAATTCATGAATAATGGTAATGACACTATATTTGGATGCCATATCCAATCTAGATGTGTTTTTCTACATGAATTTCACTTTATGAATCATGTTTTTTTCCGTACACTTTATTAATTACTATTGATTTTTAATGACAATATATTCAAGGTATGTATTTAAGGGTAATGCTTTTCATGAAACATTTTGCTTCTTGTCTAATTAAAATTAGTGTTGCAACCAGCATTTTCAGGTGCGGTTTATTCATAGTATTGAATCACTGGCTAGCTTGTAACACGTATAGAAAACTCATACCTACTTCTCTGCATGTGAATGTATGTCCATAGTAGTGAATCACTTGCTAGTCTATTACACGTATAGAAAACTCATATCTACGTCTCTACGTGAACGTATGTCACAATGTATTTGAGTCACCGGCTAGTCTATATCACATACTGAAAACTTATACATACCTCCCATTATGTAAAACTATGTCTAATATTAGTAGTGAGTTACTGAAAAACTCATACCTTCTTCTCTTTATGTGAATGTATGTCTTGACATTCTTTTGAAATATTCTAAAATTCTTTCAGATATATCGAGATCATGAAATTTATTGATAATTGGGCGGGTGCATCTCCCAATATAGATTTTTCATTTCTGTCAATCAATTATGCGTATCCTCAGTCGACTGTTAGGGTTCAAACTGTACTCCCTTTGCATCACTGAAGAGTGCTCGGAGGATGAAACAACTGTACGATACAGTTTATTCATTATCTGGCTTTACTGTAACTAATTCTAAATTTGTATTGAAAGATGTTATTCATTGGAGTGTCTTTTGTTTGTATTGTAGATTGTTTAGTATACTGGGAGCTACAAGTTTACCCGGTAATTAGAAAGCTTCAGTCGACGAGGATACAATCATATCTGATATACATTCTGAATTCGAGTGAATTCGGTTTGACATTTACAGCACTACGAACTGTATACTAGGACATATATGATAATTAAGAGTTAGGCATACAGTGACTGATTGATTCCCAGGTTCTCCTGTATGACATATAATAGTCATTACCATATGGTATTACTGTGGTACGTTTGTGGATTAATTTACGTTTTAATAATTGGATGTAATACACAGTCTTTGACTCAATCTATCTGCAATAGTATTAACTGCTTGCTTGCTGATGATACAGATGCACGGTGAAGACCTAGTGTTTTTGTATGAGATAAAGTTCTGACACTATGTTGTACCCTAGGGAAAGTAGTATGTGCACGACCGGGGATATGAATAACCCAGGCTTCATAGGATGGATGAGGACAAGACTTGAGAGTCATCGTAGGATAAATGTTCTTTAATCTTTATCAGGAGGTTAACGCTTAATTTTATCTACATTGTATATTATATATTACAGGCACATTACTCTCCTATTTTAGACTCATTGTGTAATGGATCATCTGCGGTCTTTTGATATTCTGTTATGATCTATTTATCTGCGTATTGGTGTTATGTTCACAAATGTATGGCTTGATATTCTGTTATGATCTATTCATCTGCGTATTGGTATTATGTTCACAAATGTATGGCTTGATATTCTGTTATGATCTATTCATCTGCGTATTGGTATTATGTTCACAAATGTATGGCTTGATATTCTGTTATGATCTATTCATCTGCGTATTGGTATTATGTTCACAAATGTATGGCTTGATATTCTGTTATGATCTATTTATCTGCGTATAGGTGTTATGTTCACAAATGTAGGGCTTGATGGCGACCTTCTTGTTAATGTACTATGTGAATAGGTTTATTGACATTGCTTCTCACAGACAATTTAATTTTGTTTCCTTAAACAATTTTGCTATTGTTTATTAGGTTTCGCGGATTTATTTTCATATTCATCTGAAAAGTGTTTAATGACAATTTGTTGTTTTGCAGGCTGTATGGTTCGTGACATTCATAGCCACTGTTGTTCTAGATGTTGCCCTTGGTCTGCTTGTGGGTGTAATATTTGCACTATATTTTATAGTGAGAAATTCACAAAAGTAAGTCTGCATCTTTTTCATTGTTATTTAAGAAAAAAACAAACGCATTTCCAACCTTTTCCAGAGTTATATTAAGTTACACAATTGCAGCAATTGATATTCGACGATGAAATATCCATTAAACCAAAGATATGTTAGTGTGAGCGACTAAGAATTACTTTCATTCACTTAAGTAACTACATAATAATGGGTAATCACCAACGTTCCTGTCTACCAAGAAGTCGAAATAGCATTGCGGCACTCCTTTGTAAAGGATATCAATTAAAGAAATGGTATTTGGTTATATAGGATATTCTGTTATAAATACAACAAGTTCTGATCATGATTTCAGACATCCTTCCATCAATGTATCCCTATTGTCAACAATTATCTATTTGTAGACCGCACACTTGTATTTTGGGAAGAGTACCTGGGACAACAACGTACAAGGACTTGAAACGAAATCGTCAGGTAAACATTTATAAAATATATCGTTACATATGTATATGAAACATATTGTAATAAACTGCAGTACCTGGTTTTTTAATTCGGCATAAACGATAATGATAATAAACAACGTTCTGAATAATGGAGATTACAATCTAGGCATGCATTCGATATTATTTATTTACTCCAAACGGCAGTTTTTTCCCGTTCAAAGTCGAGATGCCATTTCTAGATATATTTAATGCAATTACCCTTTTGATTGTTTTGGAAAAATTGAAAACAGAAATATAGAGAAAACTGTGTATGTTTACATTGTGTCATATGATTCTAACATGCATCCATAATTTAGGAATTTATTATGCTAAAATGTAAATATTATCACATTTAATCTTGACGAAAGTATAAAATCATTTTCAGGTATATGAGTTACCAGGAATTAAAATATTTCGCTTTGAGTCGTCCTTGTATTTTGCTAATGCGGAACAATTCCGAGATCGCCTTTATGAGAGAACGGGACTGAATCCCAAAAAACTTAAAGGAAAGAAGCAGCGAGCGTTATACAAAGCCCTGTTGCAGAGGAAGAGAGAACAGGAGTTGGCTGAAGTAGAAGAAAGACAAACAAAATCTAAGACAAAGAAGGAAAAGGTTAAACATTAGTTTTCACACCTGTTATTGTATTTCAAATGTTCTGGGTCGAGTACAAAATACTCTCGAAAGCCCGTTTTATGCGTGTTTGAAAATAATAGCTAAAGATAAACTCTCCAGAAATACAAACAATTCACACAAAATTATTGTGGATAATTTGTTGAAATTTAGATGTGAAGTTTGAAATTTTCTTTGATGTGTTGATAGTTCAATGTTGATGACCTCGTATGTATACGCATCTCTATAATAGAAAGGAAATGATAACAGAATAATAATTCCTGTTAAACAGAAGGAAATCGTACGTCAGAAGAACGCCATAGAGGTAGAAATCGAGGAAGAAGTCCCAGAGGAATTAACTGACGAACATAAAAACCTACTAATTGAGCAGAAGAATGAGATTGTAGACCTATTCTCTAAAGCATGGATACCGCCCATCCACACTCTCGTGATAGACTGTTCCGTCATCGACTACGTGGACACCAGTGCCGTTAAAATCTTAGCCCAGGTATTGTGTTTGGAACATTACAAAGTATAAACAAGATATAGTGCTAAAGAATATTGCTTGAATGGATCATTGATGTTCTCGCTGAACTTAATTGGTATTTACAACGCTATTATATAACGTTGCACAGCACCTTAATCACCTGTAGAGATGGCCATATTGTGCACTTCCTCTACCCTTTCATTTACTGTTCACCTAAACAATCATCGGACCTTATACTGAATTATTACTTGACAAATAGACCACTTAAGGTTGACTTTTTTCGCTAGAAAATAAAAATAAACATTTGCAATTATTTGTAATATATTGTTTAATCCCCTTTATGGTTACCTGGTGTACGGATCCTTTGTTAACGTGCTTGGTTGTTATACAAGTCCTGTGACAGTGTACGAAAACTAACGATTTTACAATGCCCTAAACATCCTATAATATCAATGCTTGTTACGTGGATTTTGAAAATCTATTGATTTCCAGATTCCAAACATTAAATATATATGAGGGGTTTCTGTGTGGTAGATATGTTGGTTTACAAACAATGCTAGTGTGGTAATGTTCGATACGAGTGTTTACATTTACAGCATAGTTAAAAGCAATTGATTTTGACAAGCACTTTGTAATTACAGATAGTCAACGAGTACAAAGACGTTGGAATAAAAGTGTTTCTAGCAGGTTTGAGAGGTGAGTAGTGATAAACAAACATTCCCCGTGACGCAAACAGTATTATCAGTATTTTATATCCTTATTGTAGTTCTCTGCTTTGAATTTAGTTCACTTGATGACTGAAATAACAGTCCGTTGATAGTTACATATTTGAATTTAGAACTTCAAAATGAGGTTCAAGTAACACCTAGATAACAAAAGTGTTCCCGGAAAATAATACGAAAATAAACACGAACGTCAGCTCGTTAAAACTGAATGTTTTATTACGTCATCGTATTTGACAAACATAATACAGAAAACGAAATGATGGATAAAGTGGTTGCACAATATGTCTTTGATTTTATACTCTTAATTATGCATTTTCTCAGAGGATGGACGAAATATCCTGAAGAAGGCTGATTTTTACCACGAGGTGGAGTACAACTGTCTGTATTATACAGTACATGAGGCTGTGGTGATATCGCAGGAAATTCACGCACATGTATGTATTGTATGAAGCGTCCGAAACCACCTGTTTACCTAAGAAATACAAAATTGTCATTTAAGTGCAAAACGAGGCTGTCATGTAGGCTGAGAATTGGGGGAGGAGTGGGTAGGGGATGTCTGTCCGTCAAGTCTCGATGCGTCTAGTTCAGAATCAGTGTCATATATCTTGAGAACCTCTTCATATTTTTCCCCAATACATAGTCTAAATCATATCGCATTTAGGTGGTTATCGGATCAGAAATAATGAGTCAAAGAACTTCTGCAAGTTCATCAAACAGAATGATACTTATATACATTTGAGCGTATATTATTGCCATAAAGACATTTTCTAGTTAAAAAAATCGCATAAATAAGGGGCTACATATCAATCGTTTTATCTGCCTGTGCATGCGTGCGTGATGGCATGGTGTACAAGATGAACCGATAGACAGCTATTCACACCATTACCTCACCTCATCGAGGTCAACTCCTGATCAGATTTTATTGGTTATCGGTCAAGGTTAAAGGTTAAAGGTCACTGTTAACAACTTGGAATATTAAGCTTCCGTAAAAGATATCTCGAAAACCGTTGGACAGAATATAATTCATATTTACAACATAGTCTCGAACCAAATTAAATTGTAGTGGTCATCTCTCAAGGTTAAAGGTCAGAGGTTACTTTTGACCAAGTTTGAAATTTAAAAAGCTAGTGTAAGAAGTACCCCTCTAACCTCAACGGAATAAATCATCAATAGGTTTACACCAGTGTGGGAGATGTCTTTATGCGGTTCTTCGCTGTGTTGCTGTTTTATCTGTTACGCTTAATGTTGTCTGAATGAATAAAGGGAGATATTATGTTGACCTTGATATGCTGGTTGGTTATAATGAATGCGTAATACTGACTCTCACGTAGAATAGCAGAGTAATATACAAGATACAAAACCATACCTAGGTTGTAATTATATCAATGTATATCTTATCCAATATCAACATATAACTGTACATCAAAATACGAAAAATATGAGAAATACAAAATCATCAACGCAAATATTAAAGCATACCTTTCATGTTTCCGAATTTATTGTTTATGGTTATAGTTAGTGACAGCCGATCCCAAGTACCTAGAGATGGTAAAGCGAGAGTTCGGAGACACCTCGTCCTTTACTAACTTAACTACAGCGGGAGAGTGTTCCGAAGAAGTCGACGCGACTACTCAGGTATTGAATATTGAGAAAAGTACATATAGACTAATACCGGAAAGTAATACATATATTTAAATAAATTTATCTTATTAAGAATTTTGAAAATGAAAATATACTTCATGATTTCTCACTCATATCATAATTTTGCTGTGATAAAAAAGTAAGGTCAGTAACCATTAGTAGTACTTTTTATAGTAATGTAATTTCTAATAGAAATATTTTATACGTTTCAGGTGTAAACTTTGCAGTGACGATATATTACTTCACACATCCGTATAGAATTTACAACGGCGGATACCGTGATATAAACAATAATGTGTCTGGCTTATACATCGATTTGAAATGTCTGTGAAAAATGTCTCTAGGATGAGAATCAATGTCCATTGATTAAAGAGTGGGACAAAGAAAGACAACCCATGTTCCATCTTTGTATAGAATGGAATATCGAATCATGTGCCTTGAACAACATAAACATTTACTAGGGCCAATAATCGTTTTTAAATGGACTTAAAAATGTAATTTGTTGAACAAACTAGAATTGTCGTAAATTACATCGAACATATAGACTACTGGATACGATTTTATGCAATTTTTCATTTTCTCTGCTTCATCTTTATTTTGAATAGGAAAGAAATTCCATGTGATTTGTGCTAAATATTCTTACAATGTGTGATTATTCTTTTTTTAATATATATGTATATATAATGGTTTATGGTATGAGGTGACTTTCAAAGACCGTATTTGTTCGACTGGTGATAACATCAGTGTAGTACTGTCAGAAGCTGATCACTTTAAATGTGTGGTATATCATATAACAGTCGATTCCATGTCATAATTAATATAGCAACACTTTGAAAATTTGCAAATAGTGTTACTTCATATACACATCGATGTTATCTTGAATCTATGCACAATATCTTTTTGTACAGTTTATTAAACTACACTGTCTACCAAATATATCTTTGTGTTGATTTTTAAAAATCGACTGCAAATGCAACGTGAGAAGCTGCAGATTTAAATAACGTTTTTGTTAAAGAATATGATTGTAAATTTTGGTAATCAAATAGAAATGGTATCTATATTATGTAATTCTCACGATCATATTTCGATTTCTTTTTCAAATTTAGTTATATTTAGTGTAATTTTGTTTGGTTTTTTGTTTTTGTTTTTTGTTGATTTCTTATAAATGTGTTAAGTTTCATATCAGTCGGAGGCGGAGACATCTTCACTATTTCAATATAGTCATGTTTTCCAGATCAGATGCAGATATTTTTTCAACTATCACTGCCACTCTAGTTGGTCTTACAGACAAAAACGTCATTTTGTTCATCAATCCCAAAATAATTATAGAAATTTGGCGACTAAAACCGTTTTCATTTATTTCAGTTGGCCTTGAAGTATATAAATATACGTATATACATGTGTGTTTGTTACCATATAGACAACTTTGTAGGCCTAGTCATGTAGCTAAACTAATTGTAAAGCGTCTGAAGATTTTATATGAAAGCGCTTATGCTTACTAACAGAAGGGCTTTCTGTTTGCAATTTCATTGTTTTACCATATAGGAACACCACACTTAGAATTTAAACTTTCTAATATATAGATTTATCCACGTGTCATTCAAGGTAGGTGTTTCCCTCCCTTTTTTATCTTCATTGAAATATTTTTATGTACAAAAAAGGAAACTCTTTTCAATTTTGCCCTCTAAATATTCTAGCCAATTACGTATTATTCAAATTCTATATTTCATTATCTAAAATAAACTATTCATTTTTCATATATATTTTCTAGTTATGTTATCAACTGCTTGTGTCATGAAACATCGGGGCGGATTTGTATACAAGATTCAAAATCCTTGCTGTGGTAAGGTGTTATTTATTTTACAAGTTACAGGTTAGAATTCTGACACTGACGCAGTATAGGGTACACCACTTGATAGTTCATGATTCAAAGAGAAACCAGTCATGCAAAAGGATGACGCACCAGTTTAAAGCCAATTTTAAGGATTTTTTGTAGGTAAAAGTAGCTCATAGCGCTACCTTCTATGGTGCGTTTTTATACGGGAAACAAATATAGCAATGTAAGTTCAAAATGTTGACATGCTATGACAAAGTAATATAAACCTGTTTTGTTGCTAACGAGTAAAACACGGCATTTAAGATAAGTTGATTACATTTCAACATCTGAATCTTTAAATTTCACAGGAAGGAAATGCTAGGAATTCGAGACCTAGTTTAGTAGAATGAAGGTTTCCTGTCATTCATACAACAGAATACAACAGGAATGTTTTTCTACTCTTGAAAATCTGTTCATGATAAAGTTTAAATATTTATCTGAGAACATGAGTGCGTTTAAAACTTTGTGCACTCTTTTACATGTCTATAATATATGTTTGAAAAGGTGCCAAAATATTGAATGGCAGACACCCTTTAAACACTGGCATAATGTACAGCAGCTTAAATTTGTCAAGAGTATAGTTTAGACGTGTATTCAATACATATCTATTATATAGCCTTCACTGTTTCCAAGGGCACTCTTTTTATCTTTGTTTGATAGAGCGTATTAAACGTATTGTGTTCTTTTATCACAAAGTGTTATGCCAAACTGTTGAATGGAAAACACCAATTTAAGACATTATCCATTCGTTATGATAAGTGTAGTATAGCCAAGTCGTACATTAGTTATTTAGAAACAAGAACACTGAATCGAAAACATGTCTATATTTATCTCAGTTATATATTGCAAAACAGCATTTAGGACATAGATCAATCGGTCGGAATGAAATGTATTTGACACCTTTACCACGCACACATACAAATGTATTTTAAAGAATAGGCAATCGGTGCTCATGTGGTCGATATTGTACACGGTCGAATAACTAGGGCAATACACCTTGAGTTTGAGGTGGGTTTTCCAGCATTACATGACCTAACACGAAGAGGAGAAGACGTGTTTCCTGAGCTGTTGACAGTTTCAGGCATCCGATTGTTGACAAAATGATATCCGTAAGGTAAGGTGTGAAATCACCGCATTGTTAACAACTGATATGATTTGCAGTAGTGTAAATCTGTTCTGGATATTGTCTAGACATGCATTCGAAATATGTTAACTACGTAGTCTTTATTTCTGAGCAGACGCGTTTCATCTTTGTATAATGTAGAAATAATTTCATCTGATCGAGCGTGTTATGCATGTTGTAACCAGTTTCACCGTCCGAATATCGTGTGCCAAAGATAGTCTGTTTGTGTTAAAATTCTCTTCGCGTATTGAATTGCTTCGTGAAAACTGAGGAAATATCTAGATACCATTTTATAACGTTGACCAATTTATTGTGTGCATTGCAACTTAATATGTGATAATTCGTACATATCAGCGAAAATTAGGCATTTAGTACAGGTGTAATGGATGTTTTCATCATGTTATCGTAAACATAGTAACATTATCACATGTACTTAAACAGAATACCATGATAACAGAACGTTTACGTAGTATTTAGAATTACATTCTCAAAAGTGATTTACAAATATAGGATGAAATTATCACAAATAATTATCACAAGTATTAACACAAACAGGATTACATTATCACAAGTAAGTAACACAAACAGGATTACATTATCACAAGTAAGTAACACAAACAGGATTACATTATCACAAGTACGTAACACAAACAGGATTACATTATCACAAGTACGTAACACAAACAGGATTACATTATCACAAGTAAGTAACACAAACAGGATTACATTATCACAAGTACGTAACACAAACAGGATTACATTATGACAAGTAAGTAACACAAACAGGATTACATTATGACAAGTAAGTAACACAAACAGGATTACATTATGACAAGTAAGTAACACAAACAGGATTACATTATCACAAGTAAGTAACACAAACAGGATTACATTATCACAAGTACGTAACACAAACAGGATTACATTATCACAAGTAAGTAACACAAACAGGATTACATTATCACAAGTACGTAACACAAACAGGATTACATTATCACAAGTAAGTAACACAAACAGGATTACATTATCACAAGTACGTAACACAAACAGGATTACATTATGACAAGTAAGTAACACAAACAGGATTACATTATGACAAGTAAGTAACACAAACAGGATTACATTATCACAAGTACGTAACACAAACAGGATTACATTATCACAAGTAAGTTACACAAACAGGATTACAATATTAATAGTAAATAAAAACATACAGGATTACGTTGTACAAAAGTGATTAACGCATACCATATTAAATTATCACAAGTAATACATGATATCATTACAACACTTATATAACGTATACAGGATTACATTACAACACGTGTCTGACATATACAGGATTACATTACAACACGTGTCTAACGTATACAGGATTACATTACAACACTTATATAACGTATACAGAATTACGTCACAACACTTATATAACGTATACAGGATTACGTCACAACACTTATATAACGTATACAGGATTACGTCACAACACTTATATAACGTATACAGGATTACATTACAACACTTATATAACGTATACAGGATTACATTACAACACATATAACGTATACAGGATTACATTACAAGACGTATATAACATATACAGGATTACATCACAACACTTATATAACGTATACAGGATTACATTACAACACGTATATAACGTATACAGGATTACATTATAACACTCATATAACGTATACAGGATTACATTACAACACTTATATAACGTATACAGGATTACATTACAACACGTGTGTAACGTATACAGGATTACATTACAACACGTGTGTAACGTATACAGGATTACATTACAACACGTGTCTAACGTATACAGGATTACATTACAACACTTATATAACGTATACAGGATTACATTACAACACGTATATAACGTATACAGGATTACATTATAACACTCATATAACGTATACAGGATTACATTACAACACTTATATAACGTATACAGGATTACATTACAACACGTGTGTAACGTATACAGGATTACATTACAACACGTGTGTAACGTATACAGGATTACATTACAACACGTGTCTAACGTATACAGGATTACATTACAACACTTATATAACGTATACAGGATTACATTACAACACGTGTGTAACGTATACAGGATTACATTACAACACGTGTGTAACGTATACAGGATTACATTACAACACGTGTCTAACGTATAAAGGATTACATTACAACACTTATAT